ACAAGCGTAAACCACAGCGCTATTTTTATGCCATTTGTGGACACTCGAGGGTATTGATATTCACCATGAAGGGTTGGCTGATTGCTACCATATGTTAAAGGGAGGTAGTTTTCTAAAGGATGTGTGGCTTCTTTTTTCCTGTGTGTCATTAAAGCAGCTTGGTAATGCTCTGAGGGGATTTAGAGGAATAGCAGGAACTGAACTGATAAAAGCACTTTAACAGTCTGAGGCTTGGTGTTGAATTTATATTCAGTCGCTGCCTGGTAGGATGAGGAATTCTGGTGTTTACAGACCTCTGTTGTGTTACGAGATGTAGCTGTAGCTGTATATCTGACAGTATAATCTGTGGTCTGTCTCATAGTCTGCGCAGTTTGTGTCATGTACATTTAAGTGTATAGGGGAAAGACACTCAATACAGCAGCTTTGCAATAGATAAAAATGGTGAAAAAAAAACGGTGATATCTGATTCCGTAGTGTGTATCATCATAAAGGAAATGACCAACAAAAGATCCTTTTTGACCAGATCAGCCTGGGGACCAACATCAAGAACAGATCAGTAACTAGAAGCGTCATTTTCACACCTTTGAAAACTATAAAGTGGTGTATTTACAAAAAAAAAAAAAATCTCCCCGCAACAACAACCTTGGGGTCGTAATTTGTTGTTGATGCTTCTATCCATACAAAAAAATTATTGAAACCATCAGTGCTGCCATTAATCTTTATACCATAAGGTTTCAATTTATCGCAAGAATCCATGTGTCAAATAGCATTTGGCCCTTTATTGCTGTGCTGCCATCGCCTACGACACTTTGCCCTTTGATGCTTCACACCGTGAGGATCAGTTTATTTAATAATCTGTTGGATTGACCCGCTGCACCACATATCCCATTTGAATAGCTCAAAGGTGTCCAGCGTTATCCTTGAATCTGTCCATTGTGCTGTAGTTCTTTATGCACAAATGACATCACCTCATCTAAATCGGTGTGTTGTCTTCTGGACTGACCCATTTCCTAACATTGTTTCTTCAAAGTCTGGATGCTTATGATAATGTGCTGATTCTGAGGTAAAATCATGAGTAGTTATTTGGTGCCACTATAAAAGTAAAATTTACTTAGGTCATCTAATGTTGGCAAAGCAAACCTGTTGTGCAAAGAGACGGGTTTGCTTGAACCCGTCTCTTTGCACAAAGAGACTGCTGTATTTGAATACACCCGCCCTGTATTTTTTTTCTACCTTCCCGTCGTAAACAAATGAATGTGTCATTATGCAAACAAATAAATGTTTTCAGCCAAGATATGTCAAGTTACCGAGTGCGTGCAACGCAGTAGTCAATTTGCTCATTGACAAAGACTCATTCCGACTGATGGTGGCTACATGCTGGCAATCTGCCTGCATTTATGAATTAGAAAGCAGTTATTTGCAAACGTGCAAAAATCTCTCTGAGAGCGACTGCAGTCAGTCCAAGTCAGACTGTGACTGTTTGCACAAAGGCTGCATTCCCTTTAGGTGCAATCAGCTTGTGATCAAAGATGCTCGTGAGTGTGCAACACCCTCAAGCTCTGAGCAATCATTTAGTCACCACAAGTTGCAGTCAGCTACAGAATGTGAAAAAAATTCAATACACTCACCAATCAGAGGCAAGGAGGATGCTTTTTACCCATGTTACTGAGCCGTTGGCGTGCTCTGAATTAATATGTAGTATTTGAGTTTAACTTAATTAAACTTTAGCTGTCCAGTGTTGGATTGCTTTTTGGTTGAGTTGAAGTTTGCTTAGCTAATTTTATCTGCTCGAAATGAGTCCTCTTCTTCATTGTTTCCCCAGAGTTTTTTAATTATCATTATTTTTATTTTATTTTTTTTATAAAATATTGACATTGTGGTGCCAGTTTAGCTTAATGGATGAGCAAGTGATCATCTGCCACATGACCAGAGTGCAGCAGTGTGTTCGCTGCTCCACTATCCAATAAAGGTGAAAATGCCCCAAATTTTTCTGGTCTGTACGTGACTTATTCAACCTTCTGAGCCACAGCCACCCTAATACAGAAACCTGAAGGACATACACACATTTTAATAAATGTGAAACTGCAGGGAAAAAGGGGTTCTTAGTGCAATTTGGAGAAAAGTCAAAGATCAGATTGTTTGAAGTCCAACTGCAAGTGACAGGCTCATCGGGTGTGTCTGTGTTACCCAGAGATCATTACTAACATGCTGAACATTTGCATTAAGAACCGTTCTCCTTGGCAGGTGCAAACAGCAAGTGTTAAATAGTAACAGTAATTATATGAAGTGGAAAAATGTTGAGTGTAAAGTAATGCATTGTCATAAAGGGCATCAAGCTTTTTTATCCTTAACACTTAACATCCAGGTCCCGGACTGTCGTCAGCTTACACTTTGGTGACTAAGTGTGCCTCTGTTCCACTGACTCTCAATGTTTTCTTCTTGCTGGTTGTCAGATTGACTGTTGATATTTGACCTGTTGCCTACTGACAGGTGATGTAATCTCCTTTATAACAAAACATTCAAACAGCTGTCTCCTGATGGCTTCAGGGCACTAGACACGTTCCCACTATTCTTGTGCAATAAAACCTCTATTGTTGTGTCGGGTTTGGAAACACAATCACACAATCCGACCAAAGATGTACGTCATATTTCTTGGCGATTTCCAGTGGGGAAAAAAGGGACAGTAAAACGTCAACAAGCAAGTCCAACTGAAGTATTTGTATGATACTGTCTGACTGTTGTTCCTTCATTCCACAGTTTCACCCAACTATACTGGCACCATGATTCTCATTTGCTTTGTTTACAGCTGTACACTGCTGACCAGTTTTATTTTTTTTTTAAAAAGAGAAAGAAAGAAAAGAAAAAAAAAAAGAAGAAGAAGAATAAAAAAAAAACCCACTCAAAACAAAACCATTGTAGAAACCTCAAAAGAAAGAAAATGTCCCAATATTCCTGTCAGGAAATCATGACTGGTCCTAGATTTAGTGTTCTATTGATCAGCCATCATGCATGACACCTGTGTTTGTTCTTGAGTCATAATAGCATTGATATTAGGTTCTGTCTGGACAAAAATGATTATATACTATTATGGGAGGTGATAAGAGAAAGAGGAATTTTTGCCTTAAAGAAAATTCAATTAAAATAAACAAATAAGACTTACAGTACTTTTCTACTCTAGCACTTGAAGTCAATTAAATTATGTGTTATTGATCTGGTCAGTGAAGTGGCAGAGGGGGTTGTTAATTAGTTTCAGCTGCTTTAGAGTTTGTGAAATTACCAAGAGGCATTACCAGTGGGGCAACAATTAGACAACCCCCAAAACAATTTTTTCCCTCCTCATCTTCTCTAAGTTTTTTCCACTTGTTTAGCATTTTTCAAGGCGTCACTACTGGTACCATGAGGTGATACCTGGACCCTACAGAGGTTGCACAGTAGTTCTACCTCTTGCAGGATGGCACATCAATATGTAGTATGTATAATAGTATTCGGGGACTCTTTGAATTTAGCGCTCTGTAGCTTGATACTTCTTATTTCCATCAAACAACATGGCATCCTTTTCTTCCTAACACATTACCCAGTCTGTACAAGTAAAGTATTCCTTTAACATTTTTGAGCAGTGCACTTCCATCTTACACACACTCTCTGATTGGCAGTTTTGAGGTTCAGCATTCTGACCAGCAACACTTTGACTGACTAGAGGATCTAGTTACCCCCAACCTTCCAATTAGCAAACACATCCCTGTGCCTCCTTAACCACAGCTGCCCCATCCCAACAACTAGGGATGGACCGATCCGATATTACGTATCGGTCCGATACTGACCTAAATTACTGGATTGGATATCGGAGAGAGATAAAAAATGTAATCCGATTCATTAAATATCTCAAAAGCACCTCACAAAACTTGTAGAAAAGGTCATTGCTTGTGACACGGCGTAACTCAGCTCATGACCCTAGCATGTTGGAGCAGTATGTGTCACGTGATAGAGCAGCTGTGGCGTGCGAGACCTCTCGGCAGTCGCTACCAAACCGGCATTTCATCTCCGAGAAAGTTAACCCAGAGAGAAGTAAAGCAAGTGTGTAAGTTCATCTTTGAATGTTTGTAAAGCATTCCCACGTTAAGCTTAACAACCGATATATGGAGCGAATGCCTCTTCTCTCCCCCTCCTCTCCTGTTGTTACTGCAATCATGAAACTGATCAATGATCAGCTGATCGGCTTTTCTGTCGCGAGTCCATCTCTCTTGTTTGTTTTTGGCCCACTTTGCACCAGAAAGAGGAAACCAGCGGCT